CAAATGTGATTTCACATTGTTCGGTGTTTGCACAAAATGTTTTATTCAGCTAGATTTGTTGTTTCTTTACATCTGTGTGACTCTGCCACAATGGCAAGTGCTTCTCTATCTCCTTAGGCCGTTGCCTTTCCACAGTCTCTTTCATGGGAAGAGGCACTGACAGAATAAAGAAGAGCTCCTTGAGAGCAGAGTCTCTTATCAGCCTCCAACATCTGGCCAAGACTGATGGGCTCTTGGAATGGCTCTTCAAATATCATTGAATTTGAGCTGCATAATGCTTATTTAACTGCATCTTCCCTACAATACTAATTCACCCCCTCTCATTATGTGTCTTTCACCAGGGGAAGCCATTTCTATGATTACTGAATTTAGTTCCTCGGCAAGGTGCGACTGATGTGAGGCAGTGCACCAAATGGTAAAATGGAAAAAGTCATATGTGACCAGTCGCGATCATACATTACAAGCCAGAAAATATATTGAATTTTCTGGCTGGTAAGTGTTTAAATCATGAAAAGCAATTTTCTCCGATATGCACAAAAGTTTAGCAGAGAATGAGTCTTGCTAAATTGGAGTCATCATCGTCGATTTAAAGCACACGGCCTTGGTGCATTGCAACTCATTAGATTAAAGCTCTAAGGTAATCTGCGGCAGATATAAGAATTTATCCAAACACCTGGTTCTGTATCAGCAAGTCACTGGATGCTGAGCCTGAGTTTGAGCAGATGTGTCACACTGAGCAAGTTTTGGTCTTGTCGCAACAGTATGACATGGGCAGGAGGGACCAGCCGGTTATATTCATGTTGTTTTCTCTTTAGCACAGAAGAATTATTGTCTTATTTCTACATAACACATTTTGTTTTCTTGCAATCATGAAATAATTAATTCACATCATAATCACCAAAACTGCCTACTTACATGACAGAAACTTTTTTTTGCAGCCGCAGCCAGCTCTAACAGTGTTATCTGTTATGTTCCTTTTTCTTATTGGTTTTCTTTTTGGCATGTTCCATCCCTTTTTATCCCATTGATAAAGGCCAAATCCCTATGTACCACAGAACCGGCTGTGCTAACTCCCACTGTTCACCTGGGGAGGGTGTAGATAGCCGTATGCTTCCTCCGATACACATGGAGTCACCAGCTGCTTCTTTTCACCTGATAGCGAGGAACTCCACTAGGAGGGTGTAGCACACGCAGAGGTTCAAAGAACCTCCTGCAGATCTTAACCCAACTCCTCACAGACTCCCTGACCAGCCAGTAGGAGTCACCAGTGCAGCTACAAGAAACACTGCCAAATGGGTTTTATAGAACTGGAAACATTGAAACGATTAATTGAACCTGAGCACAGCAGTGCTTGGTGAGCATTTTAACTCTGCACCACTTGCCAGTGCTAAGTTTAGCCAATAACATGCTCCCTAAGGACTCACAACACTTCCCTTATTTATTTATTTATTTTTAACTTCATTACATGTAGATAAAATGGAACATTTTGAGCTCAATATTGGCTCTTTGTCTGGTCCAGAGGTATCAAGAAGTTGAGCAGTCACTATAAAGTTTTTGTACTTTTGGAAAGATGTGCATGTGTTTTACACACTGATCGCTTGAGTAAAACGATGGGTCAAAAGCAAATATGGTTGTTACACAAAGTCATTTCTATTTTATACAATAGTTCACCAGTTTTTTTTTTTTTTTCTTCTGAAACACTGGATTTTTTTTGACTTCTTTCAACCACTGAAAATCCTTCAACTCAAACAGTCTGAGAAAGAAAAGATGATGCGTGGTTGTTATTTTTCATATATTTATCTTTTGGAGTTTTGCTTTTCTTTGACAGTCGCAGTGTAGAAAGAGAGAGGGAGAGAAGGGAAACATGGGGAGTGGGGTATGACATTCGACACAAGCTTCGAGCCATGAACGCTGTGGTTATGTTGTTACCACAGTGTCGCCCTCATGTTCATGTTAACACCCAAAATATTTGATAGGTCATTCGTTCTTTCACTTTAAAGGGTCACATCTAGAGCCGATGAGTAGGCCAGCATTAGCTTATTGCTCATATATTGGTATCGGCGGCCATATAAATGCCAAAAATTAGAAACTGTGGTGCCATTTCAGCAACAAGATTATTTTTCAAGTGCAACATGTCCAGCTCAGAACATACCATGGTCAAAATTCTTCAATAACCGAATGGATCCTTATTTAAAATATAATATGAATATTGTATGAGCCTCAAAAAGTCAGTGTCAGTCTGGATATATTCACAGGTAAAGGTTGGGAAACACGGCTGACAATAGAAACGTCACGTTTTCATCACATGATCACAACAAGACTGTTCTTGAGTTTGATCATGAGAAAAGTTTTTTTCAGGACAACAGAAGGATTATTCAGTCATCATCAGCAAATCAGATGTAGAAGTAAGTACACCCCTTGTCCCTGGATTCCCATAGAGACAGACAATGTCATTTTTTTAAATAAATGTTACGGTCTCTAACTTATTTGCTCACATATCCTCAAAGAGGCAAAGATGAAGATCTCATCCTGTTGTGTTAGGAGGGGAAGGCAGGGAGCAAATGAATAATTCTTGCTGGTGAGGCTCGCACTGCTCTGAGCTATAGCCTGTGAATCATCATCATCATCATGAGATAAAAGGCAACATCTTTTCATCTATTTTTCAGGCCTTTCATTTCGCCTGCTCGAGTAACACTCCTGTGAGTGTTTTCAAATCCAAAAAGGCATATCATATAATTATTTGTTTTCACATAGATCATATCTGTGAATTTTTACACTCCTGACATAATTGAATTCCAGCAGAGGTTGAGCCTAGAGGATAATGCAGCATGGCCACAAATGTCCTAATTGCAAATAATGCAGCACAAACATCACCATTTAATATCAATTATATCAATGTCTTATCTCAACTATTTGGGCTCCCCTTGTAGCGAATAATGTTTTTTCTTTATGGGGATTGTTTGAAATGATGCACGATTAGCTCAGTTCACACTGAGAACCAACATGCAGTGTAAATGAGCAATTAAATGGCTCCTTTGTTATTCTTACAGTTAATTATTTTATACAACCTTTTAGCGAACCAACATAGCAGGTATAGCCTCTTGTTTCCACTAAAATAACCATCAACGTCTCACATTCAGGTATGATGTGATGCGAGTTTGCGGCAATGGGCAGACCAGAGGAGTCAGCAGGTCAGCAGTTTGGCATTGGTCATTATGACTTCAGCCATTAAGGTCACGCAACCGGCATCCTACGACTTTGACACAGAGGCGGCGGAGACCAGGGGATCAATGTGATGTCACTCCAGATTCATCCCCAGAGGCCCAGTGAGTTGTGGGAACAGTTATCAACTTTGACCCGGTTTGGAGAGGAAATCTCCCTCTCTGATGACTAGGTCATAACACATTATTACTTGATTGACGCGAATGATTAACAGCACACCTTCAAACACATGATCCCAGTTATATTGATATTATTGGAATATAAATATGAAAAATGATCCAGCTCATCATCGTAAATCTTTAACACAGTAGGTCACTTCTCAGATTTTGAGTGTGACGTCCTAATCTGTTCACTTAGACATATGCACAGGCAAACACTGCTCCATATTAATTTATGTGTTGTGTATTTGCTAATGATTCTTACCACTGGCTAATTCACAGTGGTTACCAGTTATTCCAATTTTTTTCCTAAATTGGGTTTCAAAGTGTCACTGCACATGCTAAAAAAAAAAAACAGTCTTTGCTATGTTAAAGGCAACTCAGTGCATTGCAGTATCAATAGCCGAAGCCTCAGCCATTTGCAATGCAATTAAAAACTCCATTTTCAAAGGCTTTGCTGAGGGTGATAAATGGGCCAGTAATCCCTTAATTGTTCTCTCTTAGGCAGAATCACTGGAATGATAGATGTTTCATTAGAGACTGAGGCAAACTTTAAGTAAATAAAATGAGATGCTGATTTTATTGACATCAGTCAGTTTATTGCTTTAATCAATAAACCTCCCAAAAATAAAAAGCCTAAATGTGTTTCTTATGTGTTTTATATGTTAAAATTTCCAGAGATGTAGCCTAGATAGAAAATACACTGCGCCAATGTTAAGTTGTTTCCATGATCATTTTCAGGACCATAGACAGTTCTGTTGACTCTGAGTCCCTGTTTCCCTCTGCCAGCATATCATACGTGTATGAGTGGGTGTGGGTATCCAGGCATGATGTCTTTTCAGCTTTCCATCTCTTGCTGCTGTGCCTCTTGCTAACCTTAAAATGTCACTGTTGTTTTCTCAGCCGCGCGAAATGAGTGAAAGGGACCCAACATGGACACAAACTTTTCACTCGTGTCCCCACTGTGGGAAATAACTGCAGTTCACTGTGTTCACCTCAAATGGTGCAAACGCAGCGGCTCCGCTGATCCTCGGGATTTGCAGCAGCTGCCGCAGCTGGAAGTGGCCAGGCTATTCAGAATCACTGGCCACCTGAGACTGCAGTGTTTCGATTGATTCGGCCAGCAGTGGGCTAATATTGACAAGTCCCGCGCATATTCCGAGCTGCCGTAATCTAGCGGGCTGACGCTTTTTACGCTTTTTAATTTAACGTCAGATCAAGTTTGACCAACACTGGCCCGCGCAGCGACGCCTCCAATCGGAGTTCAGATCAGCTCCTTCTTCCCTCCACCAGCCCACCCCTCCTTTCTCTTTCTCTCTCTCTCTCTCTCTCTCTCTCTCTCTCTCTCTCTGTCTCTCTCTCTCTTCCTCTTCCTCTCTCTCCCCCCCTCACTCTCTCTCTCCCTGTTTCTCTCCCTCTCACTCTCTCTCTCCCCCTGTCTCTCTCCCTTAGTTGCAAAAAATGCTCTGCAGCTGGGCTGCACCTCAATGAACCTAATTGGTGCACTGTGAGCGACCATCATCTCTCCTCTGGATTTCCATCGCGCCCGGCTTCCATCCAGAACATATGAATTTGCTTACACAGAGCCTTTTAAGGAGTTGAACAGATAGGTCGAAGAAAATGGCACAACGCGTGGTTTTGTTTCTACTGTGGCTCTTTGACAGATCATTCGCAGGATTTCCCAATCAGATTAATATCGGTAAGTGTTTCTGCTGTGTTTAGAAAGGGCTGCGGATTGTGGTTCGCATGTGGATAGATCAACTGCAACATTGCAATTTTTAGACCGGAAAGATGTGTACGGAGCGCGGAGCTCTGCGCAATGATAGAGACTAACTTGATTTTACGTGTGCTGCGAGCTTAAAGCCGCTGATTGTTGAAAACTAGACTAAAGCTACATCTGGCGTACACGGTGTCATTGTGATCACTGTCTGAAAATAAGTGGAGTGTGTAATAAGGAAGCGGGGAGACGGTCAGCTTGGTCTGAAGAGTTAGGCGCACTGGTCAGAAATGCATGGGAGTTATTCTTTCACATGAAAATGAACCTGCTTTGTATCACTATGGGATGTATGGAGTTCCCCCTAGCTGAATAAAATAGTGTCCAGAGCTGACCCTGGACTAAAACACACAGATATGAGTGAAAGCGTTGTCTGATCTTGTTTTTTTTTGTTTTTTTTTGTCTTTAAGGGGGACTGTTCATGCGTTCCACGGTGCAGGAGCACAGCGCGTTCAGGTTCGCTGTCCAACTCTACAACACCAACCAAAACACCACTGAAAAGCCTTTCCACCTCAACTACAATGTCGACAACCTCGAGTCGTCCAACAGCTTTTCAGTCACCCATGCGTGTAAGTGTGCTTCCATTTCAGCCATGTCCAGATTCTCACCACTTCTTGTCCACGCAGAAAGAGCAGAATTATTTATGTCGGACTCATATGGAGCTTATGGAGGCTATGGCTCAATCCAGGGGAAGCAGTCAAGTTCATCTCACTTCCCTTTGGTTCATGAAGTCTCAGTGGGGATTACAGAAACATTTACAAACACAGAGTGTCTCTAATGTACACAGTGTTGCAGTTCATTTTACATAGTATTCTTGGGTTTTTTGGTTTTTTTTTTTTTTTTTAAACCACAGCGGACAACGTATATTTTGCCTGTGTTGAGCTTGACAGGTGATATTTTACAAATACATGAATTCCACAATGAAAAAAAAAAGTTCCCCTGGCAACATACATGCCGGCCTTGAGGAGAGAATGCAGCCAATTACACAAACCCTGTGTCAAGGACTCAGTGCTGGAGGAGTTTGTATTTTTTAGTATGGAAAGAAATTGGATGGAGGCGTTAAGTGTTTTATCATCATCTTTAATTTTCATCACATGAATGATTCAAGAAGAAATATCAATGAATATAAAATGGTACCTTGGGTTTTTTTTTTTTTTTTCCCCCTTTTTTTTTTTTTATGGGTAATCTATGTAGGTATGGACATCCCATGGTGCAACTGGTGCACAGAGCCATTTTGATTTGTAGCTGGTCCAACAGATAACTTCCTCTCTGTACGCACCCCTTTGGCAGCAGTTTGTTGAAATCAGCAGAAACAGAGTGGGCGAAAAGGGAAGAAATGGAGTCGAGAATGCCATTTTGTGGTGTCATTTTAAATGATGGCTTCAGTTTGGCTGAATGGCTGACTTTGGAGACACACAGCTCTGTGTGACCGGTGCGGTTCAGTCCGTCTAACCCCTGTGTGGCACGGTCATAATGGCCCCTCTGACTCTCCATGTGCCAGAGCATCCCCGCCTGCTCCGTCCTCTGACTCCCCCTGTGTTACAGAGCATCTCCCCCAGCATTGCAGAGTCAGCTCATTAGCACCCAGCCCTCATAGCACCTCACCGTGCTGTCATTGGGTGAAAGGGGGGGAAAAAAAATCCATAGCTCCCCAACCAATGCCAGCAAATGAGTTGGGCTCAGACCTGCAGAGGAGGTGGGTCTGAACAGGGAGGGAGATGAAGCAGAGCGTCATATCACAAGAAGCAGAGCTGCAAGTGCCCTAACGAAGGCATCCATAAGAAACAATAAGCAAATGAGAGAGAATAAATAATAGATAGTGCTGTGCAATTTCACGCATGTTGAAGAGGAAGGGAAGCATAGGAGAAAAAGGCTTGATATCAAAATCTAATTAAATTCAGGGGCAGACAGAGCTTTAGTGAGAGGAAGGGGTTCCTGTGGGAGCCATGGCCCCGTTTCTCGCTGCCACGTCTTAGCATCTCCATCAGAGCACCGTCTCAGGACTGCCTTGAACTTCAGATACAGAAAAGCTATGAACCTTTAATGATGCAAAGAAACCAATGCTTAAAAGACATGTATTGTTAGTGATGCAAAATTAAGAGGGTGATTGTCAAATGTCATTAAAATGTTGAGAAATGGTGAGAGCATCTCTTTCGCTTTGATGTGCCTATTAATAATGTGCTCAGCTTGAAATTTCTACTCCTCGCTGAGTGTTAAGCCAGCTCCATTATACAGAGCAAAGTTTTATACTTAACACACTCAGAGTGCTCTGTTCTTAAAACAGTCTCAGTTGCGGTACTCTTTAGAATCTGATTTGTGAAACATACGAAGTGTGTTTTTTCAAGATAGTGCCCTGAGACTCTTGTCAAGCTGAGCTCGCAAACCTCAGACAGCTCATGCTGAGCTCACAACAGTCCACAAGCACCTCAGATTGTCTCGACAAATGTAGTGAACAAAATAGAGATGACGGTTATTAAATATCACTTATCTGCTGACTTCCAGGCCTTTGAGGCTTTGCCTGTAGTGAGTGAAGACCTCCTGTGTTCTAAGTTTTACATTTGTCAGCGCTGTTGTTTGTACTGCGGGCTGTCATAGTTATTTAGTGGACATTCAAATTCCCTTTGTCATCAACGGCCCCATGTGGATGACTCAGACCTTCGCACACATAGCTCACATCTACTTTATGATCGAACAATCTGAAACAAGGTTTTATAAAAGTGGCGTTTATGCGGGTTCGGGGAGTAAATCTATTTTGAGTTAAGCTTCATTGCTTTGACAAAGATGAGATCTGGCTGCTTTAGGCCTTGCAGAGTGGTTGAAATGACGACTTTTTTTATTTATTTATTTATTTATTTTTGTTTTGTTTTGTTTTGTTCGGACAACTCTTTTCTTGCAGCTGATGTTATTTTGCTTTAGTGTGTTTTCTCTCTTTACTCAGAGGGAGAGAGAGAGAGAGAGAGAGAGAGAGAGAGAGGGAGAGAGAGTGCCAAAGCCGTCTACTCTGACTCATCATGTAGATCACTCCCCCTCATTTGCTGTACATCCTTTAAAAGTAACATAACAGAGGGAGAGGAACAATAGGATGTGCATACAGTAATTCAAATTAAACTTGCTGGAGTTTATTTTTCTCTTTTGAGAAACAAAATATGGAAATCCTTAGGTATAATGAAGGCACAGTCTTGTGTCAGAACAATTTCTTTCAAGTCAGTTTAAAGCCTTATGATATTAATTGAATTAGTGACCGGCAGCAAAACAATGTGTGGCTTCAGTAATCCTTAAGGCTTGGCTTTGTACTGCAGAGGCATGGTATGTGCTTTCGTGGCAAGACTGTTGTTGCTTTGAAGTGACATCAGAAATTGTGAAATGTGTAATTACCAGTGCAGGGTCCATAATAGCTGTGGAAGCTAGGAGTCAGGTATGCTCACAGAGGAGTAGTTCAAAGCAAAGGGTACCAGTCTGAAGAAAGCAGAGCAGACAGCATTAATGTTCCTGATGGTCACGGCCAGGCAACTTAATGATACCGCCATCCTTTTCTCTCCTGTTTACCCTTCCTCTTCTTCTTCCTTTACCTGAGGCAAAAAGAAAAAAAAAACCATCAAGCCCCCCTCTGCCTTCTCTGTGCCACACTATTTATTAGATTACTTGCCTTGATTCCTGTTAAAGGCAAATTTTGCAATGCTTGGCTTTTGAATCTCATCTCCCTGATCCTCATTCCTCATTCTGTCATTAAGCTAATGGTCTGTGTCCCCTCTGCCAGCCTTTTTACATGTGCCTACCCCTCTTTTATTGAATCCTCCAGGTCCTTAAAGCCTGGCAGTAGCAGATGCTTCTTTGGCTGTGCCGTTCACCTTCCCATCGCTGTTAGCTACTGTATACCAAAACTGCATACCAACACTGCCTCGCCCCAAGAGCATGGAAAAAAGAATGCAGGATAAAACAAGAGTCACTGTGATTGCATTTGTTTGCTCGAAAGGCAAGAAAGATCAGAGGGACAAGAGAGAAAAGCAGTGACTGAGAGGTGCATTATGACTTTTTTTTTTTTAATGGAGGGAAGATGAGGTTAAAGAAATAGTCTGACATCTGGGGAAACATGCTTATTCATTTTCCTGCCAAGGCTTAGATCAGAAGATTGATACCACTCTCATATCTGTCCAATAGGCTAACAACTTGGAATAGCATATTGTTGTTTTTACAGATTAAACAAAGAAAGTATAGTGTGTTAATTATTGAGCCTTTAAGGTGCTGGTAGGTGTATTTTGACAGTAAGACTTAGCTGAGCTAGCTAAGCTAGCTCTGCTGCTAGCTCTAGCTACATACTAAAAGAAAGAAAATAAATGTATCTCCAAAAAATGGTGAAATATTCTTTTAACCTGGCTCCAAGTGAATAGCAGTTCATTTATGTGATGCTAGCAGTTCTTACTATAGTATTAGCATCGTCAGAAAAATGGATTATGGCACATTATTTATGTGCTGCACTTTGGCTGGATGTGGTTTTGCACATAATGCAGGATGATCTTTGGTGATAATATGTGAGCAATGTTGTTGTGACTTCAGTATCATGACCAAAACATGTGTGGAGGGAATTCAGACGGTAGCATTAATGTAGCAGAAAATCCAGCTGATGCTTGTTTTTTTACATGGACGTGGGACATCAACATCATTGCTCAAGGTTATCATAAAGACTCACTAGCACAGTCAATTTTTTGTCTAGACACAGCACATCCTTAAAAGCATCTTCTTCACTGACCTTTACGCCCACCCAGGCGGTGCTAGCTCTGCACATGTTGCCCAGAAACACCAACAGTCTCTTTACACTGGCGGCCCACACTATGACTGAGCACATGTGGCAAATGGCATATGTTGTGAGGCCCAGATGTAAAAGCCCTTACCCCATCCTTGCATGTATTGTCGTGTATAGCTTTTGGGGCTGTTGTTGGCATTGGTTGTGTGTGAATGGATGGTAAACAAAGAGACAGGGAGACATGTTTTTGCAGCACATGGCCTGACAGAGACAGGCTATGGTCGAGAGAAGCTCCTCAGGTGATTGTAGTGGTGCCACACTTCTTCTCCTTGCAGGCTGTAACTCAGCTTGAAAGGTGTGACCGGGGAAACGTGGCAGGGGGAAGCTGGGAAAGCGAGGGGGAAACTGAGTGGTGGGAGGACAGAGATGGAGGCTGCAGTAAGAGAAAGCACAAGGAAAAGGAATTTGATTAAAGAATGCTTTAGATGTTGCTTATCTTAGAGAGTATGCGTATGTATGAGTGTGTTTGTGTTTCTGTGCGTGTTGGAGAGAGAGACATCTTCAGGCTACGGGGGTCGTACCGGGACATGCCATCGCAGTCCAGCTGTGTTTGAGGCACAGATGGAGGTTTGTTTATGGATGCTCAGGCATGTTCATATGTACGCATGTGTGCGCACATATGCACAGAGCCACACACACAGACACAGTGGGCGTGTGCAGGCACATATGCATTGACGGGCACATCTTGTCTCCCCTTTTGAATTTGTTACTGAGTAAATCTCACTGTTTTGTTCTTCCTTGATCCACTCCATCGTTCAACCAAAGTAA